TCATGTAGTTGCCAAAGGCGGCGGCTCCTAGGCAGATGGCCGAGAGGACGAAGCCGGCCACGGGCTCCAGCAGCAGGTAGAGGGCCGAGTAGAGGGAGGCTGCGATGGTGCCGAGGTTGAGGTTCAGGTAGGGGAGGGTGAGCCAGGACGGTAGGCTGATCAGCGTCCCCGTGTATGTTGCCTGGGGGCAATGACTCGAGTTAGGGGCAGGCTACTACGGGATGTGGGAGTGTGGAGATGGAGGACTTACAATGGTGAATCCCGAGAAGAGAATCAAGGGCACACAGATGACATGGATCGCGACATTAATCTTATTGTGGTGGTAGGATCCGTACTGGCGGCGGTGTTCATTCAGATTAGCGAGGGCAAGTAGAACGGCAATGAGACGGGAGACGGGAGCTTACGAAAACGAGGTGCTGCTCCAGGTCGAGCGCCATTTGGAGGGAATGAGAAGGGGTTTAGGCAAAAATTGAAGTGAATTGGTTTGGTGGGAGGAAACGCGCGAAGCGAGGTGAATGGCAAGCAAGCCGATGTTGATACAGGGAGCTAGCTGCAGAAGCCGGATGGAATGATTAGGTGGTGGAAGTGGACACCTGGTGCGGTGCAGAAGGTAAATCCAGGCAGTTATTGGGTTGGTAGGTACTTGGTCGCAGCTGAGACGAAATTTTGCGAGGAAAAGACGGTGGTGTAACACCGGCAGTAGCGGAGCGAACCACGGAGGCCAGCAGCGGCAGACCGGGATTAATGCTGGTATTGACAGCGACGAGATTGATGCAGCCGTAGGGCGATGAGGCAGACTTGCAGCCGGAGGAGCAGAATAAGAATGATGGGCTGGTGCGGGCGCTTGGTTAGTAGGAAGGAAGAGAAGGAGGATCTAAGTGTTGGAGCGTCGGCACGTCAAACAGACAGTCCGTTTTCGCGCTCAGCTTATAATAGCAGCCAGGCCAGGTCCCGGTACGCCCAAAGTCACTGTGTGCCTACCAATTATCGGCCCTGGCCTCGGCCGTGGGGCAGCTTGTAGACCAAATAAAAATAATAATAAAATGCCATCACGAGCCAGCCCTTCCCCGTCTATTGGCAACCGGGCTGGATTATTCGTGCATCCACGCCCGCTCCTATGCAATATGCGTGCATATCGAATCCCTGGATTTCGTGCTCGCCTTGGGCACGGGCACTAGGAAGGCATCATCGTGCCGGCTCCTATCTGCACCGCGGGACGATCCCCATGGGGTAGGCCGTCTTCCCTCTGTCCTGGCCGCCTTCTGTTCTGCGGTCGAGAGCTTCCCCATGTCTGAGGCTGTCGGCGATGGTTGAAGATTGGGGGTACATGAGGGACGAGCTCACGCGACACCCGGCCGATTGGTCTACAGGCCGCCTCAGGAGGCTTACGGCCTCAGTAGTTGGCCCAAGCGACGCAGACAGCTGGCATCAGAAGCCGAGAGCGACAAGCATGCACGTGCGCCTCCTCGCCAGCCGTTAAACTGACAGAAGCCGGCATGCAGCCGTGACTGGTGCATGTACCGCGGTGCGCAGCGACAATCGAGCAGTCTGGAGTCGCGCCCACTTTCCCATTGGCCGTGCACGAGCCACCCTAGACCTCCACCTGTGCATTGTGCCCCTGGTCACTTCCACTGTCAGCCAGCGCAGGCGGCCGTGGTAGGTACCGGCCTTTCTGCGGCAAAGCTCAGCATCACGGTTCTGATTTTCTACCTCTCACCCAGCAGCAGCTCAACACTCACGAAATACGCATCCGCGCCCCGTCATCCCTCTCTCGCCCCGCGCCCCGTTCAACACTCTGGTACGGAGTCACAGGAAGAAGCCTGAAGTGCGAGGGATCAGAGTAATCGCGTCGGGGCTTCTAGTTAGCGCGACCTTGGGGGCTTTCTTTCTCTTCGATTCTCCTGGCGGCTTTGTTCGAGCGGCCGGCCCACTCGACTTCAGCCATTGTGAATTTCCATCTCGCGTACGAACGAACTCCCCCGTCGCGCATCGAACAGCGATACTCTTCTTCCGCGACGAATTAATGCGAGCGGCCGTGGGATTTGGCGCGAGGGCATCGTAGTTACTTTGGGCTTGACCGCGGGACAGAAAGTTGACCGCCGACACGTCGGTTTACGCATCCCCGTTTCGTCGCGCATCATGTTTTTCCTCTACAACATGGAGCGCAGGGTCACCCTGCACCCGTCGTACTTTGGCCGCAACATGCACGAGCTTGTGACGAGCAAGCTGCTCAAGGACGTCGAGGGAACCTGCGCCGGGAGCTACTACATCATCTCCATCATGGACACGTTCGATATCTCCGAGGGGCGCATTCTTCCTGGAACTGGCCTGGCCGAGTTTACCGTTGGATACCGTGCTGTCGTTTGGCGGCCATTCAAGGGGGAGACGGTAAGATAGTTGTGGGCTGACTTCCTGTGGTGCGCAAGGCTGATGCATGGCAGGTGGACGCCGTTGTCTACTCCATCAACCCACAGGGCTTCTTCGCCCAAGCTGGGCCTTTGCGCCTTTTCGTATCGGCCCATGTATGTTGAGAGCGGCTTCGTGAGACAGACCGCATCTTGCTGACGTGCGTTGCAGTTGATCCCCGGTGATATTAAGTGGGATCCTAATGCCACGCCCCCTCAATTCACTAATAACGAAGACACTGTCATCGAGCCAGGGACTCACGTCCGCGTCAAGATCATCGGTACAAGAACCGAGGTCGGAGAAATGTGGGCTATCGGCAGTATCAAGGAGGATTACCTTGGGTACGCTGCCGCAGCATTTGCGATTCATTACTTGTGCCTAAAGCTGATTTATGATTCCAGGTGTCTTCAGGGTTGAGCTCATCCTAGTATCTGAGAGAGTGTTTACTCTTGGTCTATTAACCCTCCTAGGATTCAACCATTCCAAGCCGTCCCCCAGAGACGCATCAAATCTGGGCATTGGTCGCCTTCTTTATAGCCTTGGGCGGTCATGGTATTTGAAAGTTGATGGATATTGACGATCAAAGGCTTCCTTCTAATAGATCAACGGCTAACTGCTGGGAGTTTAATACCGCTCTCCTGGCATCATGTGTTGGCCTCAGTCCATTTCCAGTTCACGCATGCAAACAAGGAGTTTACCGCAGTGCTCCTTGCAGGATGAGTTTCTCCGTTTCGAGTTGGCCGCATAAAAGTCTGGTGTTTTTCAAAGACTTGTTTCGTACACTAGACATTCATTAGTAGCTGAAATGACAATATGCAATTGGATACCCAGTTAGGGCCGAAGCTAGCCGAGTGAAAGATGTTCGAGCTCTAAGGTGTACATGTAAGTTAATAATGAGAGTGCAGTTGGAGATTAAGATGCGCTTACAATTGTCAGAATATTCAGCTTTTCTGAGGCGTCTGCTGCCCAGAGAATCTGAGACGATGTCGGAGCAACCTCACCTCCCCACACCATTGCTCCCCTCCGCTCTCCACCTCACTCCCCGCATCCTCCTCAACACATACAGCTGGCAAGCTCATGACTTGGCTTATTTGATTTATTTAGCCGGAATCGCAGCTATAGAGCACTCGGGATCCCAATCCCAGGCACTAGACCCATATATACTTCGATCCCTTTACGCCTGGAGCTTCTGATTGGAGACTCCATCACGACCTGGCTCAGCCTAACAACATAGACAATCACTTAGTCTCCTCCAAACGACCCCATCCGAAGACTTGCACACATCTGGCTTGAATCCGTCGCCCGCCTGGAAAGTCCCACCTATTAAACTCCACCTCTCCCAGTCCGTTCGTAAACAATGCGTAGATTCGTCTCTTCTAGCTTTCGGCCATTTTACCGATCCCTCGGTTCGCCTTCTCCTGTCTGCCAACCGAGACGCTGTGCTGCGGCAACAAGATCCATAACGATGCAGTCCTCGAACAGACTCAAGGTCGCCCTGGCACAGGGCCGGCAGGCCTTTGGCGCCTGGCAGATGCTGCCGGGGGCTAACATCTCCAGGTTACTGGCTCGGACAAACGCCGATTGGGTTTGCGTGGATTGTGAACATGGCAACATGGACGGTATGAACTCACGCTCTCGTCTAATTAATAAAGGATGGAACAAGGGGATTAGGAGATCTGACTTTTGCAATTCGCAGATGGAGCTATGCATGATGCCGTTCCTGCTATCGCGGCTCTCGGAGTCTCCCCGATCGTGAGACTCCCGGATATGCAGTCTTGGATGGTCAAGCGTGAGTTAACGGTACTAGATGATCTTGATAGTGCGATGCTGATGCTCTCACAGGCGCTCTGGACTGCGGAGCTCATGGTGTATGTTCCGAACTGGAGTTTATGCTCTTTGACAGATACTTACATTGATAACACTTAGGTTCTCGTGCCACTGCTACGCACCGTCAAGGAAGCCGAAGACTTGGTCCAGGCCGCCAAGTTCCCCCCGCTCGGCCGGCGAGGTTTCGGCTCGCCCATCGCCATGGAGCGCTTCAGCCCCATGCCCACCTTCACGCAGTACCTGCAGCAGGCCAACGACACGCTCCTGACCATTGTGCAGATCGAGACCCAGGAGGCCCTCGACGCCGTGGATCAGATTGCGGCGGTTGATGGCATCGATGTGCTCTTCATTGGACCTTTTGATCTAGGTGGGGGTTTGCCTTTACTTTCCCAGAGACTTTATTCTATAAGTCACCAAGACGGTACTAATTACGGGAATGTCTAAAACGTAGGCAACAACATTGGCCATCCCATTGTCGGAGAAATGGCACCGGAGCTGAAGGCCGCCCTGGCCAAGATCCTCGAAGCCAGCCACAAAGCCGGCAAGAAGTGCGGCATCTACTCCACAGGGGGCGAGCAGGCGAGGCTGTTCGCCGAGCAAGGCTTCGACATGATCTCTTTCGCGACCGACTACACCCTCCTCGAATCCACAGTCAAGGACTCACTGGCCATCGCCTCGGGGGGACCTAAAGCCGCCAAGGGCGTGTCGTATTAAGTCCGGTAGCTGTATATACATGAATGCATTATTGGACATCTAAGAAGGGGTGGTTACTTGCTCTCCACCTCGTCCATCTTGGCCTGCACCTGTTCAGGCGTGAAGCGGTGCATCAGCTTGACAGCTTTGCTGGCCGTGCTCACGTCCTCGCTGGGAGAACTGCTCTTGCTGATGTGAATCTGGGAAAATGTTGAGTTGGAACCATTCGCCGCGAGCCAATTGCTCTTCTAGTATGAATATAGAGAACGATGAAACTTACGACGGGTACGTCAAAGTCATATAGATCCCTCCACTTCGAGCCCTTGACGTCAATGCTCTCCTCGACGTAGGCGAATGGCCTGGCATCCCAGACCTTGGACAGCGACTCCTTTGCCTGGTCGCACATGCCGCAGCTGGGACGGGTAAAGAGTGTGATTCTGCATGACTGCAGGAGGCGTCTTGTAGCAAACATGGCTGAAATCTTGGGTTACTTGACTTTTCTGAAAGCTTCAAGTAATAGCTCTAAAGGACCGTCCCTAATAAGAACCGACAAGGGTTTAATCGCATGTCGAGCTATACCAGCTCGCGCAGTATTGCCATGGATTCCTTGGCTTTATGGGCTGTCTTATTGGCTTGGGCTAGCTCTTCCACCCCGCATCCAAAAAGGAAGGCGGTGAGGGTCCTAGCTCAGAGCAGGCAGGCCATCGTCATGGCTAAATTTCTAGAACATCCCACCCCACTATCAAAGGGCAGTACAGCACCTGTTACCTACATCTTGTGCTAAGCCATCTGGCAGCCGACGTTGTCTATTACACTCCAATTCTCTGGCATTAGCTTCACTAGGCCTTGAACCCCACGGAAACTCGGGAATAAGCATCCAACATGGCACAGAAATGTGTTCACCAGGGCTGCGGCAAGGAGTACACAGACCCCGAGGAGAAGTGCTACTACCACCCCGGTCCACCTGTCTTCCACGAAGGGCAGAAAGGTAATAGGCAGCATGTCGTCACAGCTTCACGACACCACCTCTCTACAGTTCGAATTGAATAATTACTGACTAGTGCTATGCAGGATGGAAATGCTGCAACCCGCGTGTATTGACTTTCGATGAATTCATGGAGATCACGCCCTGCACGACCGGCGTCCACTCCACCACCGATAAGCCCCCCCAGATCGAAGAGAAGCCCAAGGTCGACGAGGCGGAGCTGGCCAAGAAGATAGAGGAGGCGAAGGCCCCGGGGCGGGCTCCTATCCAACCTGCACAGCATGCGCCGACCCCGCCCCCGCCACCTCCAGAGTCCGAGGACGACGACCCAAGCTTAGAGATCCGGGACGGTGCCATATGCAGGCGCAAGACATGCGGTGCCCAGTATAAGAAGGGAGGATCTCGGGATGGGGAGAAGTGCACTCACCATCCCGGTGTTCCGATCTTCCACGAGGGTAGCAAGGGATACTCTTGCTGCAAGCGAAGAGTATTGGAGTTCGACCAGTTCATGCTCATTGAAGGATGCAAGACAAAGGACAAGCATCTCTTCATTGGAAGTGGGAAGAAGGATAAGGCGGCTGGGGGAGGCGAGGAAGTTTTGACCACTGTTCGGTATGTATTTGCCCTACCTGTTGATCCTGGACTCCCTTTGGGAATGAGGCGAAGGAGGAAGACAGGAATGCTGACAATTGTGCAGACATGACTTCTACCAGACACCCAAGTCGGTCATCGCATCCATTTTCCTGAAGAAGATTGTGAAGGACACTGCCAAGGTCGAGTTCTTGGCCAAGTCTCTGAACCTGGACCTCGTGACTAGCGACTCACCTCCTAAGCGATATGCCACCGAGTTCCCGCTCTTTGGTGAGATTGACACGGAGCAATCCTCGTTCAAGGTTCTTGGATCAAAGCTGGAGTTAAACCTCGTCAAGGCGGACGGGGCATCCTGGCCTGTGCTGCGAAGCGACGACGCGCTGACCGGAGAGATCCTGCAGATCGGAAAGGCTGGCCGCGCGTGATATGATAGGACGATATTGGAAAGTTAAGGAAAACTACATTTTAGCCAGAGAAATTAGGACATTTTAAATGACATTTACATGAATAGAAGACAAGGGAAGAGAGAATCGCGGCGATTTCGGAGTTGGGCGGGAAGGCTTGGTTGAGGGTGAGGGTTTGGAGGGGTTGCATCCTTTGAACTTGAGGAGTAATGAATAAACATAGTTTTGAACCGCTGCGGCTTGACGAGCAAGCTTCCTTCACTGTCTTCTGATTAGCGGGACCCAAACTTGAGAAAGAGTGACCGAGGGTGTTATGCCTGTGCCAAAAACGTTGATTCGTCTCCGGACCGGCGAAGAAAGTGAATGTGGAATTAAGCATTACGACATCTTCCATCGCGTGATCCCATGCATGTATACATCATCACGATGACTCCACTGCCATGTGCACGAATATAACCAGGCTGCTGTCGGCTATCATCGAAAACTCCCAATGCTACGGTTCGCAGCAGCTTGGGCTGGTATTGCTAATGCAGGTAGTGCCGATTGCTCGTTATCTTTGTACGGGAATGCGATAAGGGAGCGCGGAGCTGGACAGAAGTAGGCTTCTGGAGCCGGAGACGAGGCACACCGATCGAATATGCTTGTTCGACGCCCAATCACAGGAGGGATCGCAGAATTTGAGTTACGAGATGAATACTGATCTGCGCGCAAGCCACTGGAGAAAGTCGGCAGCAACAGGACATCAGCTGGCCCATTGGGCTGGCGGGAGAGTTCGTCGGGAGCGCTGATGAGAGCTGCGGGTTAGGTTGCGATAAGGTCGCTCCACCCCACCACCAGGCCTGGGGCTGAGAGCGTGGTCACCAAATTCAGGTACGTAAACAGCCCGCGCTCTGACTGGCTGCAGGGCTGCCCTCCCACGCCGGTCGCCGGCCTGAGATAAGGCGGCCAGCCCATGCGTCGGTTCGCTAAACCTAACTGGTGGACCAGCGGCACGCCCCCTGATGGGTCCTGAGGCGCTCTTATCCAAGGTTTCGAGATAAGTGTCGCTGCCGTAATTACATGCCTGCTTGCCTTGGCCGGTTCTACGTCGTTGCTGCCGTTTTGTCTGGGGGAAGGGGAGCGGTTGCCTTCGATAGACGTAGCATGACTCTGAGATTTCCGAGATACAAAAGGCTGACTGCTTCCCCGCCACCTCCCTCCCCTCCCAAAACTAATTGAGGGCTCACGTCACGTCACCTTGCATCACCCGAGTTTGCTCTTATCAGCAGAAGCGCATCCGGCCTTTATCTCTCTTCCTACTTGCTGCATAGCACACCTATTCTAATCAGATCGACCACGCGCAATCATGTCTGCCGAAGTGTCGCACGGCCGCGGTGGCGCCGGCAACTTTAATGCCGATGATACCAAGTATGAGGACGGCTCTATCGTCCGTGTTGGAGATGAGGGTAGCCATGGAGATGGTGCCTACAGCGCTGGCCGCGGAGGTACGTTCCTTTTCCCTTTGCTTTTTGACCGTTCCCTCATCCGGCCCTGTTCCTTGTCAATGGAGGAGTATCCTTTCTTGCTATCAGTGAGAGGGTCTCTCTGACACATGTCGCCCTTTGATATGGACTGGACCCAACAACCCTGGGGTTTAAGTCAATGAGAGACCGTGATCGTCGTTAATTTATTCGATCTATAATGCTGTCCTATTCTCATCATCTTCACGACTCACCTTTTGCCACATTCCTCACTCCTTGGAGGAGACATGCCATATATGCTTCCGATATAGTGGCGTCAACCCAGCTAATATATCTACTATTAACATAGGAGCTGGCAACATTGGTGATGCCGGCGTCAAGGGGGCGGAGCGCAAAGACGCTGATGTTATCCCCGAGGCCGCCGTCCGCAACAGCATCAACATCAACCACCACACCGGCCGGGGTGGTGCCGGTAACGAGCAGCACGCTGCGTCTGAGGAGACGGCTGCTCCCGCCGAGAAGTCTACCACCACTGCGACGCCTGCCTCGCCTCGCGGCTTGGCCGACAAGCTCAAGAACAAGATCTTTGGCGCTTTCAAGAAATAGACACTCTGCGGCATGGAGAGCTAGGAATGCGATGACCTGGGGGAGACGTCTGTGAAGATTAAGTCAGTGGCCTAAAGACTGTTTCCCATTAATTAAGACCTGACTTGAGCGCAAAACTGGGAACTTGGAAGGGCTGGCTAGGGCTGACGGGGGGTTTGGAGGATTGTTCTGTTCTTTGCACCAACAGTGATACCTTGTTTTCTAGAGTTATCGTTATACCATTGATATATTCCTTTCTTTGATGTGCATGATGAGTGCCTGAGTCGGATGACGACGCTATGGTAGTGCGTAGTGCTACCGCAACTCCACAGTTGACGTAGTTCGCCGGGATCTCCATCTGCGTGTTGATGTGATGGGCTGGAGAGTCCGTGAACCCGGCGCAAGGAGGACCCCTCAACCAGACGATCCCCGTACTTACGTGTGCTTCAATATGTGTTGCATGTCTGAGCAGTCTGTTACTTGAGGATCTTCCCTCATCCTGGACTTTTCAGCAGTCGATCCTACCCCGCTTCCTGGGCCGGCAGTTGTCCCCCAGTTATAACAAGCTGTTCCTATTCGAAACAATACTGTACTGTGGAGATGGCATATGAAGATCTGGGGTGAGCAGGTGGGATGGGCACGTCTTATGTAGATGGACAGAAGAGTCATGAAGTGTGCTTCGGCAATCGCTGGTGAGATTTGGGCCACCTGACTGCCATTGTGTCTCAAACTGGGTCTTTGCTGCACTTGCACTCATGCTCAGGTGATTGGAATGGGGCTCATGGGAATAAGAGATGTTGTGATAATAAGGCTCCTGGCAGAAAGAACACAGTCAGAACTGCCCAGCGAATTGGGCATCAGTTTTTTCGGCATGGAAGCGCCTAGTGATTAGCGCCTTGCGCACCCACTCTCGAGGTCACGTAGCTTGCCTCGTTTTTGGAGGCTCAATCCTTTTGGAGCTGGCTCCTGGCATGTCTAACCCATTCCCGACGGCATTAGACGCCTTTGGGATGTGCGTCTGTCACAGAAGGTTGCAGTTCCGGCGGGACCTGTGATGGAGCCAACAGCTGCCAGTCATGCTGTGTGGTACTCGGTGCGGCAAAAATGACTGCCAATCCCAAACCACAGTCCATTCTGCAAGGCCAATACTGGGGACGTCTCACGATGGACCAGTGTCTGTACGAAGCCTGCCGGTCATCCCTGCTTTCTTCACTAATGCACAGGTAGCGCCAGAGCCGACCTGCCTGGTGAACCTTCTGGGGTTAATTCAAGTGGTATGAGCGGTCAGGCATGTGAGTGAGTGGCAAGGCGGAACGAACAATGATCGTATTCATATTAACCTTGCCGTCCTTCTCTCTCCCCTCCCCTCCCCTCACCTCCGTCTTCGCATCATGTTATGCTGTGCTGTGCTATGCTGCCCCTCTCGAACATGCTTCCTCCCATCGGCTCTCCGCTTTCGACCTACCCAACTCAGCGGCTGTGACCAGTTCGTCTGATACCATCACCCCTGCTCCTTCGAGGGATGCCATTGAGCCCGGCGCAGTAGACCCTGGACTCACGTGGTGCGCCAATAGCCTGAGACTGGCGGACGCAAATGGCCGAGTAGACCATCCGCCACAGGTGACTTTCATCACGGCCTCTGCGCCATCGTCCGAGACCTTGTGAACAGGCGCGGACGGGAACAAAGTCTGTGGGACGGACAGCCAGCTCCGCCGCCGTCAGCAAACCCCACAGCGCAGCCAATCACTGGCCTCCACTCACAGACACAGGGACAAGGGTGGCTCAGGCGCCGTGACTTGATAGGCAGCCTCTTATTAGGCTTTGGGCCCAGCCGCGATGGCCGGGAACCTTCAGCCTCCACGACCTCAACTGCAAGGTCGGAGGCACCAGTCGGGCTTCTCTCATCTGTCCAAAGACTCCTTCAGATCCTTCGCGACATCCGCCTTCGAGGCCGACGACGAACTTTCGTACACCACTGATGCTGAGATGAGCGCCCACCACAGCGACGGAGAGGATGGCGGTGGCGACGTGCCGAGGCGGCTGCAGGTGCCCGCGTACTCCGGCCATGATGCTCGCCCGACGAGCCAGAAGGAGCTGGCAGGCTGGTATATGTATGCCTTCGCGTCCGAAACATACATGGTCTGTGGAATCGGTATGTTCGCCCCTTTTGTGAGGGACTCGTGCTTCCCGGATGCGTACTCACACCTTATGCGACAGGCTCATTCATCCCGATTCTCCTCGAGACCCTCGCACGCGAGAATGGCTACCTTGTATCCGACCCGACGAAACCATGCGGCAGCAGTGAGAGTAAAGGCGACGGGACGGGACCTTGTGTGGTGGATGTAATAGGCATCCCGGTCAACACGGCCAGCTTCGCCATGTACACCTTCTCCGCCAGTGTCCTCCTCCAGGCATTGCTCGTCGTCAGTATCAGTTGCGCCGCAGACCACGGCGCGTACCGGAAGAAGCTCCTCCTGACATTTGCCTGGATCGGCAGCGTTTCTGTCATGTGCTACATCTTCATCACCAAGACGAACTATATCCTCGGCTCGATGCTGACCATTGTCTCTAACACGGCATTCGGCGCGTCCTTCGTTCTTCTCAACTCTTTCCTCCCTGTTCTCGTACGAAACCATCCCGAGGTCATCAAGGCCCGGGACCCATTGTCACCCGACCTGGTGAACTCGCACCTGGAATCTAGAGCGCTTGCAGGCTCGACTGGGGACCTTCGTGCGGACTCGACGTCTCCTCTTCTCGATGATAGTTTTGGTCCCGGCTCTGGATATAGCCTCAAGCCAAGCCAGGACGAAGTCATGTCCAAAGAAATGCAGATCTCTTCTGCAATCTCTGCTAAAGGTGTTGGCATTGGATATTGCGCTGGGCTGTTTCTTCAATGCGTGGCTATTGCTATTCTGCTGGCAATGAAGTCTACGCCCACATGGGCGCAACGAGTCGTCCTATTCATCGTTGGAGCATGGTGGACCATTTTTACCATCCCTGCTGCTATGTGGCTACGTCCCAGGCCAGGTCCGCCTCTGACAGATGGATCGAAGGGGGGGTTATCCTATATCATATACGCCTGGAAGTCCCTATTTAGGACTATCCTGCTCGCAAGACGCCTCGTGGACATCATCATCTTCCTTGGTGCTTGGTTTCTTCTCTCCGACGCCATTGCGACTACGTCATCGACGGCAATCTTGTTTGCGAAGACGCAGTTGCATATGAAAGCCTGGGCATTGGGCATGATCAATGTCATCACTACACTCTGCGGAGTGGTGGGTGCTTTTGGCTGGTCGGGCATCTCGAAGAAGTTCAACCTGAAGCCCCATCATGTCATCCTCGTGTGCATCGGTCTTTTCGAGCTCATTCCACTCTACGGTCTCCTGGGCTACTTGCCTTTTGTCCAAAGGTGGGGGGTCTTCGGGTTGCAGGAGCCGTGGGAGATGTACCCTCTGGCAGCTCTCTACGGGCTTATTTTGGGCGGGCTCAGCAGTTACTGTCGATCATTGTACGGAGAGCTCATTCCGCCGGGCTCCGAGGCTGCATTCTACGCGCTGTTTGCCATCACAGACAAGGGATCGAGTGTTTTCGGCCCTGCTATTGTTGGCGCCATCATTGACTCATCGGGGACTGTGCGGCCGGCGTTCTGGTTCCTTGCGGCACTCATTGGTCTGCCTGCATTCATTCTGTGGTTCATTGATGTAGAAAGAGGCAAGATTGAGGGCGGAAAGCTTGCGCGGGCAATCGAGGGCGCAGAAGTCGTGGGTGGAGGGGAGACGGGTGATGATGCGGAAACTCGTGGCATGATTGCGGATTACGAGGGCAGCGAGGACGCCGCACAGTACAGCCCCCCACGGTACTAGAGCATGGTAACTGTTCCATCGTACCTTGCCTGCCCTGTGGTTTGGTTTATAGTTTCTGTTTGCATGCATAGCGCCTGGCGTTGGGACGTTGATGAAATATGGTTTGGATTTCTGATTGATTCACTCTATTCCGGCTGGGGATACAATTCGACTCGGGTATGTCCCTTGGTGTCGAATGGTTGGATTGGATATATGGTACCTTTTACGTAGTAGCAATCTTGATGTTGTGCTGCTTGGAAAATGAGCCCCCAATGAGTGTAATCAGAATCCGACTGGGCTGTCGCACGAGCGACCCGAGCGTGAGTTGGCCGAGGGGGCCTCGCCTCCCAGCCTCAACATATGCACCCGCCTCCTTTTATTTCGTTTCATTTCTTTTTCCCTTTCGTTTCTTTTTCCCTCTCGTTTGACCCAGCGCCTCTGTGGTATCACAACTGCCAAGGCGATCAAGCCATCGCTTTGTTTACATCGGGACTTGTACCGCTCGAGGTGGTCGACTTGATGTGGCCTCGGCCAAGTAACAGCCCACCCAATTTTACTTGGACGCTACTGCCCGGCGCCCATACCGGTGTACCCGTTCCAGCGAGTACCACACTGCCATATCCCTCTCCAACCCCCTGGAGGCAGCAGCTTAGTCATCGACTACAGCCAAAAAGATCTGCTGGTAGCGCGCGGATCTCGTCCCCTCTGCCACCCTTCCCCCTCCAGACGCGTTCTTCCATGTAGTTCTGGCGAGAATTATCCAATCTTGTACCATATATTTTCCCCTTGCTGGAGCACCGTCGTCATTGTATATTCGCGCGACAGCACCACCTCCCACGCTGTGGACTAGCTGGAGCAGAGCATATCCAGCTCCTCGGCCTCTGCCAGACCCGTGTTGATTTTTTTTCGCCCGCTTTGAGACCGGTCGCGTCCCCGATTGCCGTTGCGCATAGCTTTTTCTCAGGGCGGTCGCGTTCTTGCACCCACGCGCTATTCTCAAGATTTTCGCTCCCGCCTCGCCCATCTCGCGACTGTCCTGCCGCCTGACGGAGACAATCACCATCGCCTGCAGCTCCCAGTCACACCCATCCCCAACCACTGATTGACACACCGCGGTCGGAATGCCATCAACTAAGCGCCCGAGGTCCGCCGCGGACGAGAATCGTGCCGAATGTCCCTTCTCGGTCCAGACCCGGCCATTGACCGCTGCTGAGCAGCACCAGAACGCAAAAAAGCGCAAAGGCGAGGCGGCGCACGATGAAGACCGGCGGTCGGAGTGGCAATCGCAGGCATGGCCCTATGCGCCGATTGGAAAGATGAAGAATAACGATGCGCTCGATGTCAAGTACTCGGTCTCCCCACATGTCGACTGGCAGGCCATGACACGATACAACAGTTTCGTCCGTAAGTCACCTCATCTCCCTTCCCAACCCCCAGCTACCAGGCCGGCAGCACCATCGAGATGAATTTCTTGGCGTGAAACCACAGTAACTGACTGAATCGCGTCATCGTCCCCAGTCGGCAAGGAAAAGTTTCACACCGACGATTTTGTCTACGTCGCGAATGAGGAGAGTATCAAGCGACTAAAGGCCACGCCGGACGGTGGTGCCTCCCAGTCCCCTCGCTCCAACGACTGGGTTGCCCGGATCCTGGAGATCCGGGCCCTTAATGAGCAGAACGTCTACGCGCGCGTCTTTTGGATGTACTGGCCTGACGAGCTCTCCGCTTCTACGACCGATGGACGGAAGACCATCCGCGGCCGCCAGCCGTATCACGGCAAGCATGAATTAATAGCGTCCAATCATAGTACGTGACACATGCTTGGTCATGTCACCCATCTCCTGCTGCCTGCTCTAACACGCATCATAGTGGATATAATCAACGCCGTCAGTGTGACCATGGCTGCGAAGGTCGAGTACTGGGCAGAATCAGACGAGGACGATTCGCAGTCTTCGCTCTACTGGAGACAGATTTTCAACTGCAACACTACAGAACTGACCGTACGGCCACCTCACCAAGCTTTTCTTTTGTCCCACCTGAGCGTTCACTGACCATTAATTGTAGCCCGCGAGACCCGTGTGCAAATGCAAGACCCCCGCAAACCCGGACAAGATGCTTGTTGGCTGCACGAACAAGAGCTGTGGAAAATGGATGCACGATGACTGTCTTCGCCACGATGCTTTAATGAGGGTGTTTGACCGCCTGGGCAAGACCACGCCACAAGTATTCGAATCAGCTTCCGAGCCAGGATCCGTAGACGCCGACGATAAGAAGGATGTCCTACCTGACGCCGACACCAACACCGACAGTGGCGACACCGACAACAACGACAAGCAGCCTGTCAAGCTCCCAACCTACATCTCTCCCCCCGGAGCCGCTGCTCCATTCCCCGCCGCAAAGAAGAAGACGACTAAGCGTGAGCCTTATCGCGGGCTGTTCGAGGCCAGCCTCCGCCTCGGTGATGGCATGACGGCCTGGCACGTCAAGGATCTGCGAGAGGGCGTCGAGGGCGGTGTGAAGGAGTGGTACGAGCAAGTCTTTTGCTTGTTCTGCGAGAAGTTGGTCGATTGAAAGCAATTGTCAAGATTGAGGAACAGAAAGCGAAAGAAGAAAAGAGGAGAAAGGCATACTCTTCTAGGAGGTTCTATTTACTCGGGTCTTGGTGGACGGTTTCTATATTTATTGGGGGTCTGATTTTTTTTGTTATACGCTTCTTCAGGCGAGGTCCATCTGCTCCCATGGGACTCTTGACCGCTATATTTTTTGGCCGGTGCAGAAAGGGAGCAAGGTCGGCAGCAGGAGCAGAGCGTGTCGCATTATCAT